TCTTAAGTTTGGTGACCCCCTGGTTTACAGATGAGGTTGCTTGCTTTTGCAAGCATCCCTAGTATGTGTGATTTTTAGATTTTGGTTTCTAGTCTTGCTAGTGTAATTATGCCAATATCAACCAGGAAACAAGGCACTGATCTATCAGAGGAGCTGGGATAATGGCAGCCATTTCTGCCTATGGAAGGTTTGAAGCCTTAGATCTCATCTTTGTGTTGGTTAGCAGGGTGTTGCTTTGTGCCAAGTTAGGGTGAGGAAATAAAGGCATGTGATCGAAGTTTCTGAATAAGTTTTCATATGCCATAGATCTTTCAGACTAGGTATAGTCATCTGTTACTTTGTTTATAGTTCTTCTTCCTCAATGAGACTCAGATTACACAATCGGGGGGGGGGGAACCCAGTGCAACAAGGGTGGTATCCAATTAAAAACAAGACAGGTAATTATTAAGGACAATATTATGCAGACAACAACCAATGTAATAGAATCAAGTGTGAGATTAAGAATAGCCAACTCTGAGTAGTATAGAATGCACAAAGAATGTTATGCTGTCCAAAATTTCACAGACCTGAAATTTCTACAGCAGGGGTGTCAAATATATGGTCTGTGGGCCAGAACTGCCCCAACCAGGGCTCCTATCTAGCCTGTGAGAGACTGATTACCTTTATTGCCAGAGGACAGAGGGTGTGCATTTTGTCCCTGTGTACTGTCCCAGTGCTAATGTGGAAGTGGGAAGGTGGGCATCAGGAAATGCCATAAGAGTGTTAATGTTTGTACTTTGAGTAAAAATAATACCGTTAATTGGGTTTGCTTGTGTCCTTTATCAAATTTATCTCTCTGGTTCCTGGCATTACACTTTATGGCACCCATGGCCCTGCATGACAAAGTGACATTTATGTCAGATCTGGCCCTCATCACAAATGAATTTGACACCTCTTCCTTAAAGCCTTGTTCACTTTACAGAAATGTCCTCCTAAATAATCCCATTTTATGCATTCTGTGGAAGGGTAAAAGGTTGTGTCTGCATTTTAGAAAGAGAAAGTTGATCCAGTTCTAGGATTTCAATGCATCATGAAAGGGCAGGCTTGGAATCCCTACTTTCCCTTATGATAGGAGATTTTCAGGAACAAAAACCCTATAAATTTAGGAGATTAAAAAAGCTGACCTAGTCTTGTCCATGAGCTGTTATGCAAGGGTATCGGCTGTAGTTTTTGGAATGGTTAATGTATGTATACGGAAGTAGGCTTTGTTCAGACGGGCTCTAAAATACTGTTTTCATAGTTATCCAAAATCTTCTATCTTTTATTGCTAAGTTCGAGTCCAGTAGCACTTAGAGACCAACGATATTTTCAGGGTTTAAGCTTTCGAGAGTCAAAGCTCCCTTTGGCAGACACTTTGACTCTCAAAAGCTTATTCCCCGAAAATCTTTCTAGTCTCTAAGGTGCTACTGGACTCGAGTGTAACTGTTCTACTGCAGACCAACATGGCTACCCTCTGAAATGTTCTTTTATTGATGCTTGCTGTTGTTGTAATTAATTGGATTTTTGACCGTCCTTCCTAGAAACTGGGCTCAGGGCAGTTTACAGTGCTATAAAACCAGCAAAGGAACAATTAAAACCAAGGTAGCAAACAGCAGAACATTAGATTCTAGAAAAACCAAGATGGCATCCAGGTCCTGATGGTGTCGCTATCTCATGGGGGGGGGGGGGGGAAAGAGGGGGCGTTGCTGCCCTCAGCCAAAAGCCTGGCAAGCCCTGCAGAACCGTAATAAGTCCCACAGGGCCTGGATGGAACTTGGCAGAGAGTTCCGCCAGGTGGGCATCAGGGAGATGCCGGATGAGGAGAGCCGGATGCCTCTCAGGCTGGGGACCTCCAGCATTATTTCTCCTTCCTGCAAGAATGCATCTTACATAGTTTCTGTTTTCTTCAGTCTTTCATTTTGGCAATCCAGGGCCATATAGTCTGAAGCACAATAAACTCTGTTCCCCTCTCTGGCCTTTGCATGTTGCTAACTGTGTGTGTGTGAATGAGAGGCTTCTTGGGATGCAACAGTCTTCTCAGTGCACAGAATCCCTTCTTGCCCAGCTCTGCTTTCTCCTTAGACCCTTAAATGCATACCAGCAGTACTCTGGTGGAAATCAAAGTGTCCTGCTCCCTGTTAAATATTAATTCCAAATTTCAAACTGAAAGCTTGATAACCAAACAGGGTTATCTTTACCAACTTCAGACCCCAGCATTACGCAGAACCTTTTCACTTGCCAGGTTCAATTCTCTCCCTTCAGCGATTTTAACTGGGAGGTTTAATAGTACTCCTTTTGTTAATAGACTAGGCCCTTGTGCAAGCGGGTCTATCGAAACAGTATCTTACGTGTTATTGGAATGTCATTATTATGCTAACATTCGGCACAGCATTTTAGTGTCATTACTTGGTGGCATCGTAGAGCTTCCTGATTCACATAAACGGCTATATCTACTAAACAACATTGATGAAAATATAACCAGCTCTGTGGCAGAGTTCTTTCAGGCAGCTCTTTTTATACGTAGTACAGTATTGTAATCAGGGGTCATTTCGTAGAAAAAGAGGTGCAGGAGCTCATTAGCGTAACTCATTAGCATAACTTATTTGCATATGCCACACACCCTGACATCACCGGAAGTGTGTCAGAAGGCAACACCCACCGCTCAGGCTCCACTGGACTGTTTTGGATTGCTAGCTATTGGGGAGGGGGGATGTGCAGATCTGTCCTCACAGAGGAGGGAGAGCTTGTGCCTGAATAAAACTTAGTCTTAAAGCTGCTTCTGGATTGTTTTGGACCCGGGGGGGGGGCCTCTGCAGCTTACCTGGCTGCTTCTTGCTCTGACTGAGGGCTGCTGGGAGCAGGGGGTGGGGCTTGTTGCATGTGCCCGCCCCCTAGGCTCTTTACTGCCAGAGCTCCACTCCTGTGTGCTCCTGCAGGAAATGACCCCTGATAGTAATGCAAAACTTGTATTTGGGAGATATGAAAGTGAGACTTATTTTATATGGATTTTAGACTATTTTAGAACGAATGCCTCTCGGTATATGTGCCTATGTTTTATTTATCTGTGTATTTTCTCTAATGTCAATGCCAATAAAGGTAACTGAAATGATATACATGCTTGGAACAGGTGCCCATTTTGTGTAGAATGGAACTGCAGAGGGCCAAATTGTGATTGTGCCTGCCAACTTTGTCCAGTTCCTGCAATGTGAACAATTGCAAGTCCCCAGTCCTTCCATGAACATCTTCACAAGGCTGTTGTGCAAAATAGGTTTAAATAGTGTTACAGTGTACTAAATGTTCCACAAAGTGACTTGAATAAATTATTAGGGACTGTGCCCTATACAATGGACAACTTGCTGAAACTAGGATCCTACTATGTAATTTTTGCATCATTTAATGTGCCATGTTAATACGCATTGTTTTAGTTCTGTTTTTAGACCTGGGTTCTACAACCCTAATTCCTATTGCATTATTCATTGGATGGCCCATCCTGTCAATTGTATTGACTCACTGTGTTATAGTCCACCTTGAGTCCAAGTGAGAAAGGTAAACCATAAATAACATAAATAAATTTTAAAAAAATTAGTGGCTTTTATTTGTGGACAATAGTATTACCATCAAATCAAGCCTGCACTCTCCCTAGAAGCTAAAACGACCAAACTGAGGCTATCATACTTTGGTTACATTACGAGAAAACATGCCTCACTGGAAAAGAATGCTAGGAAAAATTGAAGGCAATAGGAAAAGAGGAAGACCCAAAATGAGATGAGCAATAGTACCTTAAAGACTAACAAAATTTGTGGCACGGTATGAGCTTTCGTAAGTCACTGCTCATTTCTTCAGATACAGCTAGAATGTGAGTCTGCCCTGTATTTTGGAGAGCGGAGTGATTTCAGATGCCGAATGGCAATAGCAGGTGAATGACAATAGCAGGCATGATTGGATTAGGTGTGATATGCAGAGGGGTAGTAGATATCAGCATTGGTAATGAGACAGAAAACCTAGGTCTCGATTCAGTCCAGGAAGATACATTGTCTTGAGCTTCATTATCTGTTGCAATTCAGCAGTCTCTCTTTCTAATTTCCCTCTGAAATTCCTTTGTAAGAGAACTGCTACTTTTAGGTCTGCAACTGAATGTCCTGGAAGGTTAAAATGTTCCCTCATTGCTTTTTGAATGTTGTGATTTCTAATGTCATGCTTATATCCATTTATTCTTTGTTGTAGGGACTGGTCTGTTTGTCCAGTATAGAGAGTGGAATGGTATTGCTGACACATGATGGCATAAGTCACATTAGAGGATGAGCAGGAGTATGAATCTGAGATTTGTTTGTAGGTCATTAATAATATGTTGAAGTGGCTTGATAGTGACAGTTCCCTCACACGGGCACTGGAGGGCTGACTTTTTCTTGCTTACAGACAGCCTGCTAATCTAAAACAACTTCTCACCTGCAATTAACAACTACTTAACAGTAACATGGACTCTGATACCAAGGCCTGCAACAAACCAAGATGCCAATTTTGCTCTCATATAGATCCTAGCAACACCATCAGTGGATCCGGCAACATCAGCTATACATCTCACAACTTTATTAGTATGCAAGAAATTTCTAACAGACCAGTTAGGGCAAGATTCATGGACTATTTGTGAATTTTTGATGGAAGGTAAGCAAGAAAAAGATAAATTGGAAGGTTTTTTTGTGGTATGGAAGGAATTGATCAGTTGAAACCTTTCAATATGGAGGCAGATCTTTGAAACAAAGTCAAATTGCATCACTCACCAAGGTAGATTCCTCATGCCAAATTTCAGAGTGATGGCCTGTGGACTGTGTTGATTTTATTACTAATAGAATTTTCTAGATCAAATGTTGGAAAAACTAACATGCCTTAATTATACATCAAGTGTAAAACTCCCAATTTTGTAATTCTGACATTTTACAATTTTGTTCCTGTCTCTCCCCCCACCCCGCCTTTTGTTTCTGCAGCCATAGACCTTTTGTATGGGGGTATATACTGCTTTATGTGTCAAGATTACATATACGACAAAGATATGGAACAAATTGCCAAAGAAGAACAACGGAAAGCTTGGAAGCTACAAGGTTTGGTTTTCTTTAAGTATCTGCCTGAATGAATGCTCATTTTCATTCTTAGACTTCCAGGCCCCTCCCACCAATCAATGGCAGAAACCAATAAGGGGAGGAGAGGAACACTTTGGGGCACTTGGTGCAGGATGTGGGAGATAGCAGAGAGTTCTTCCATTCAGGGGGGCGATAGTTTGTGTAGTATGCACACTTATCTAAATGGTAGCCAAAACTGAGTCCTCTCAAGGAAATTCCAACAAACAGGCACTCCATTGTGATAGTTGCAATAGCTGTTGATGATAAAAACTAGAACTGGTAGAATATCTCTACCTCTTTGAACATAGAACATAATCCAGGCAAGAAATCCATTCCCCTCACATGAAATAGCTTTCCATGTGAGATCACCTCGTAGAACGTGCCGGCTGTATCAGCACATGCTCTGTTTTGCACACACATATGTATGTCTGTAGATATTGACACACGAGTATATGTACACATTTTGTTTTATTATTCAGTTTGCTTTCCCTAATTTTTTCTTTTTTAGCCTTCACTCCAACAATGGTTTCTCACTACCAGTGTACAATGACAGGTAAGAAGTGTGAGCTGGTGACGCATTTCACTAACAAAGCGTCCCTTTGCTGATTATCTGCCACTTTTTAAAAGACAGAAATCATAGTTTTTAAATGCAGAGTTTTAAAAAATGTAGCTTTCTTTCCTTTTACTGGGAATATGTGTCAGGGTTTTGGTGGTAAACTTTAATTTTGCATGCCCTTCCCATGGTTGAAGTCCTCAAAAGGAAATATTTTCCCCTTTCTTTTTTTGAAGGGAAAGGAAAGTTGGAGAGGTCTTGGACCGACATGATGTATTTATTAAAAAACAAAGCTAGTCAAAAGCTAGGCTTACTTGCTTCAAGGAAAAAAATACTCCTTAAACAAAGCCTACAGCGCCATAGCACCTCCTTTCTTGTAATAAATATATTGGCAGGAGTTGATAACTCATTCTCCCTCTTCAGTGCAAATATTTGCTGCTCTCTTTTGAAGTGGTTCAGTCCAATGAAGGGGAAGATAATGATGAATTTCAGAACCAAAAAGAACATAGCACCAAATGATGCCCCCAGAAACTGTTTTCAGGGACCAGTGCAGGAGGATAGCAGATGACAAATATCTGGGAAGGTATTTTTAAACCTGGGTGTCTAGTTGGTGATTTAACAGCCTCTTAGGAATGCTGAAATATGCTCATCTTTGGCTCAAGAGGAACAAACCTGCATAGGGAATAATATAAATTGTGGACTCGGTATAGCCGTCATCAGGCCCAGAGGTCAACATGCATGTATTTTTGTATATTATAAGTTTCAACTAGATTTTTAATATTGGCCCTTTACCAGACTTCTTTCTTACCAACATGCATCCGAGTCACACTGTATTCTGATGTAGACAATTTAATGGAGGCACATTTTGGACACAGCACAATGTTAGTATTGGCGTTTACCTCTGTTACCTATTGCTTCTTTTATCCTGCGCTCCTTCCAAGGAGCTCAGGCCAGCATGCATTGTTCTTCCCTCCTGTGTCTTCACAACAACCCTTTGAGGTAGATTAGACTGAGAGAGAGAGGAAGGGAGAGAGTGTGACCTTTCCAAGTTAACCCAGTGAGCTTCCTGTCTAAATGAAGAGTTGAACCTACATGTGAGCCGAACCTGCTGGTGATCATAGTCTTGAGTTGCTTAGGGAGATCCAGCCTACAAGTAGCTCTTCTAACAGTTAAAAAAATATGAAAGCACTGAAGGTGGAGAATGTTTTCATGTCGGGGTAAAATTTGAGGCATGGGACATCCGTAGTTCATAGCACAGTCATGGACTTGCCACGTTGCTTAATCAAACACCCCCCTTCCCTGCTTCAGCCCTTAACTGAAGGTGCTGAGCTAAGGTGAAGGATTGTTGTTAGGAGATATATATTGTATTTTTATTTAAATCATTTCTCTGCTGCCTTTACACCCAGTTAACATGTGTAAAGTGCTGTAAATGCTCTCAAGGTGATACATACATGCGTAAAGCTGGTCCTTGAAAGCTCTGAGGGTGTACCGTTATTTTAATGTCTCATCCTCATGTGAGGGTGGAAAATACTGAGCAGGACTGTGGATCATTCCCAGCATCTATGATCCCATTAGTATTTCTGGGCTAGGGTGCCAAGAGCCATGCAGCTGATTCCCTGTCCCCCAAGGGGACTTTCGTACCTCTTGAACAGTGCCCCCCAACCAGCGACCACAACATGGCAAACCACCTTTTGAAATTGAGGGTACTTCCCAAAGCAGTTTGAAGCAAGTAATAATAATAATAATCAAAAGCCACTGGGCATGTCCAGCTGTAGTCACAATGTTACCAGGGAGAAAACTCAGCCATATCTGATCTAATACTGATAATCAGTGTTCCCTTAGTGTGCTTAGTCTCTGTTTTCCAAGAAAATTGAGACTACAAGCTGTTCATGTATGGCTTGCACTCTTAAAAGTTTGAACAAAACTTTCTTTGAAATTTGAACAAAGTTTACTGTCTTGCGCACCAGAGGGTACCTAGGCAACAGGTGTTCTGTCTATTTTGCCCTCAACGCTTGCCTGAATACTTACCTTGTATGTATGATTTGCTTGCTAAAATTGGACAGTTTCATCACCCCCCTCTCCTATGCAGGAGTCAAATCTGTTTTTTTAAACCGTGTGTGTGTGTGGTTACCCTCCGAACACTGATGTACTTTTTGGCACACTAACCTAAACAACTTACATTCATGTTTAACATGATGTGCTTGTGGAGACCCAAAGACTTATATGCATAAAATTAAGCCAGTGCATGCATGCAGAGATGGGGCTTTAATCTGAATATCTTTCCCCCCACCATGCTTTATGTTTATTTATCATTTTGTCTTGAGATTCTGTTAATCAGCCTTGTTGACAGTCTGTACAAAATTGATTCTGTCATGCCAACTGTAGTATAACTTAGTGGTGGGTTTATTGGTTTTTTGGATGGTTAAACCAATCCTATCTCATGGGACCCAGTGAGCTCCTGTAGTAAATGTGGGTATACATTAAAGGGCAGTTGGGTCAGCTTTTCTGAAGTCACCCAGAAGAAGCGGTTTTGTTATATGCTTGTCTTGTTACAAATAGATAATGAATTCAAAGCAATGTAACGATTTAATGCAATAGTGCATGGAAACCAGTTTCCCCCTTATTTGTCTGAGTGATATCCCCCCCCCACCCCGGTATTGAGAATGGTGCTGGAAGGAATGGAAAGGGAAGCAAGGATGCCAGTGTTTAAGGAAAAGAGAAAAGCTCCTTCCCTTTCTGTTAACAAGATCTTGGTTTTTGTTGAACTTACACTGGGGAAATTTCACAATTATTTATTTATTTGGACTTCTTGGTGAGGTGGGGTAGGGGCCTTCTATTTTGCCATTAAAGATGACAACCTGAAGTGGTATACACTTCAAACATAAACAGAATTTAAAAACCACTGTGGTAAAAATTGTATAAAACATGCTGGATACTTGATAAGAGCAGTTTTTAAAAAAGGGGGAAGATCAAAGAATGATGATGATCCTGCAGATTGTGTGAGTTCCTCTACCCACATCTACCCCTCCCTGCTTTCTCTCCTTTGCTTAAGGGTTAGGCTTGATCCTGTAGTGCTCCTTTCGACTGTGTGCATTCTGCACAGAACAAGATGAGGTGTAATTGGGTTGAATCCTCAGTTTTGCAGCAGTGTCTTTTAGTAATGTCCAACTGCTTTTATGATTCAAAGTCAATGGCCAGCCTCCTCACCAGGCCACTTCCCAGGTCTTTACTGCTCTCTTTAGCATCTCATAAGGAAGTCAAGAAGGACACCTGGTCTGTTGTTCTAATCCGTTTTGCTAGCCTCTCTTCAGATGACCTACTTCTTCCCCTGCCTGTAAATAGAGTGACCATTTTTCTCAGGCATTGTTGATTTGTTTGGATGACAAATTCCAGCTCTAACTCTCGAGGCAACATCTTATTTTTGTTCTCGTTGACAGGCAGGGGGCTGAGAGCTTATAACCGGTGCACTGTTTTTCAGGAGACTGTAGCCTACTGAAGTTAGTGGCCTGAATGCAAAGAGCTGCTTAGATTTACCCTAAAGGGTTTTTGCCAGCCCAGTGGAATTTTTTGACTACTCTTCTTTGAGGAGATGAGTACCGTGCCATATCACAGAACTGCTTTTGAAGCTCTACTGAGTTTTAGAAGCTTCTTTTGCTGTACGGGAAATGGTCTTCTTTGGGGTGGAAGGCAAATCCGAAAGACCTTTGATGTTATGGTTATTTAGGTCCTGACCGGTATTCGGTACTATCCGGTCTGTATTGAAAGCCATAAGGTGATAAGGAACTTCTCACTGGTACATCCATTGACACAAATGGAGAATACTCTTATTTAGTATCACTTCAGTTGTATACTTGATTCTGCATTGTCTCTATTATAAGTGTACTGCTGCCCAGTAAGCTGGACTTCTGTTTTGTTTCACTGTATTTGCCATATTGGGCAGATCTGAGCACAGTTGACCACAGCGGAGGTGTCTCTCTGGATGTAGCCTCAAGGCATGTTATTGTCCTGGCAGTATGACCTCTGTGATCCCCCCCCCCCTCCAAATTGGTGGATGCCTGAATCAAATTCCAGCATGCAGAGCGATTTACTGTAGTGCTTTCTAATTGGAGGCTGTTCCCTCCCCACCATCCATTGTTGGGGATGGGGGAGAGGAGAGAGAATGGTTACTTGGAAACAGATAGGAATTCTATACAAGCAGCTGCTTTTGTGTGCTTTTTAGCACATGTTTGTGGGAACATATTTTGAAGGTCAATTGCTGCCTTTCTGAACCATGGGTGGGGGTGTGTGAAAGCAAGCTGACTGTTGCTGTGAGGCGCCAGTGGATCCAACTTAATGGACAGCATGGTTTACATTGCAAAGTAGTATCCTTATTGATCTTTACGAAACAGCCCCCCTAAAATAGGTTTTTCTCCCCCCCCTCCTTTTTTGACTGATCAGGTATTGGAGAGAAGTATTCAACATGGGAGCCAACCAAACGCGAGTTAGAGCTGCTTCGACACAACCCCAAGCGGAGGAAAATAACTACAAACTGCACCATAGGTAAGGGGAGGCCCAGCTTTTCTGCTCCGTTCTGCAAATCCACGCTTCACGGCAACCCTTTCTTCCCCCCTTCCGACGTTTAAACAGATAACTGTTGTTTTCTGATCTGCCCTGTGGGTTTGATGTGATTGTGCTTTTGACTCCAGTGTTTAAAATGACAGGAGGATGGACGGAAAACTGTGAATCTTCATCAGAAGCCTTCAGGGCAGAACACGGGCACTACGTACACTAACTTGCAGGAGGAAAATGTTGCTGCCGCTTAACTAACCTGTCTGAAGGTGTGCATAATAACCCAGCGGGGGGCAAAAAAAGAGGAAAAGCCCTCAGAGCCTTGCTTTTCCTGTTTCAGCTCCTGTAGACTCCATCACTAGTGAGCTGATGCTGGAACAAATTGCGCAAAGTGGAACAAACATACGTATTCCCCCCCCCCCCGCCGCCGTTGCTTCAGTATGTCATGGACTTCAAAAAGAATCATTCAGATTCTCGTTTTCTTCACAGATGATACAATTTGGCAGTTTATGCATTACTGTCTATTAATCATTTGTGTGTTCACTCTAGGCATCGCAGTACAGCTCTTCTTAAAATACAGGTATGACTCGAAGTGGCCAGAAAAAGGGATGATTTGTGTTTAAATTGTGTGGCTTTTGGACCCTCTTTAAATAATGGGCAACCTCTGGAGCAATATGCAGATGAGAGACTTAACAATGTAGGGCCTCCAGATGGAGGGAGGTTGGTATTTCATCCATCTGCCTATCCCAGGGTCTGTCTGACACAAGCATGCCTGCAGTTGCATTTCAGTCGCCCAGTTCTGCATGGGCATCACGCCTTGTAATGGGAGTTGTGGGGTAGGGTTTGGTGAACAAATGTGAATTTGGGCTTGCCTATGTTGGGCCCCCTACACTTAGGCCCCTGTGTGACCATGATGCTCAGCATGCAGACGTCAGATAGCCCTGGAGCAGCTGAACATTATCCTGTTCCTCTGTCCTGTGTAGGCACTTACGCAAACTTGCAGCGGGCATTGGTTGTGTCTGTAATTTTGTAGTTAAGCATGATGAACATTCAGGAGTTAATGCTCACAATATAGCAGTCCTGACTCTTCTTAACAAGAGGCGGGCGGTTCATGGATGGCTTTCTTCTGCCCCATGAGCTGTTTGCAGGGAGGAGCAAAGGAATGATGGTGCTGGAGAGAGAGAGAGAGAGAGAGAGAGAGAATGAGAATTAAAAGCTTCCCAAGGGCAACCAAGTTGCCACCAAAGCAGGGATGCTGGTCTTGCGTGAGAAGGTTACAAAATGTCAGCTTCCCTTCTGACCCACACCGCAGCATGAAACAATGGACTTGCTCATTACTGATGGAACCTTGGCCAGAATTTGCAAGGCTGGTGATTCCCTTCCCCCAAACCCCCCCCCCCCCCCGTGTTAGTTGTATTATAATCCTGCCTAGTTTTGAAAGAAATCCACATCTATTTTGCTTGGAGAGGCAGCAGGTTTCCAGTCCTTTTCTACTTACAGTGTATCGGTCCTCTTTTTAACCTGGTGTTTCTCAAAGCTGTAGACCAGCCACATACACACACATCCTCTCTCTCACATACACACTACCCCTTAGGAGAGGCCCATAAAGTTCCAGGGAGAAGTAGGATCCTAAGACAGGTGATGCCACCATCTTTCTCCAGCCAAAACCTAGGTAGATTGAATGCCCACTGGGATTGCTTACTGGGTTTGGGGGGGGTGGGGTATCTGCACCTTTTAGCCCCATTTTCTCCATGAGATTTGGGAAGGTTCAAAAACAGCTTCTTCCTTCAGCACAAAGTTGGAGCTCCTGCCCAATTTGCAGTGTCACTGTGCAGTTATTCGACTCCTTGGCGCTCTACACAATAACTTCCTTGTTTCCACTGTGATCTCCTCATTCCTCTTCTCTGCTCCCCCATCCCCACCCCGTGTTTCACCTTAAGCTCCTGGCTTTCTAATATTTACATTTTATTGCTTCTACTTATCTCTCTTCTCTTCTCCTTTCTTCAGCTTCATTCTGCTGGCTCATTGTTCCTCTGGTTTCTTCATCTGCTTCCTGTTTTCACCCCTTTTCTCTTTCAGTTCCTTTTCTTTGGAATTCTCTTCCCTTCTGACCTTTAGACATAGTTTGTGCCTTTTTTTTTAAGCATTTAAAATGTTTTTCCCCCCAGGCCTTTCTCTTCTAGCTAGTCTCTGCTTCAGCCCCTTCCCTGGACTGGTGAAACTATGAGCAGGGCCTGTCCTTTTAAAGCTCATTTTGTGCAGTGTTTAGTTGTAGGCACCTCATACATAACTCATAATTATTAGACTACTATAAGATACAAATATGAAATTGTTCTAATGGTCGCTGTTGGCCACCCCCCAGATCCTGCAAAAGAAATTCAGAGACATGGCAGACAAAGTGGGTGTTTCAGATCTTCTGCTTCTACTCCCCTGTAAAGAAATTAATTAAAGGCCACCTTTGGGATCCAAAGCAGTTTTTCACATTGTCTCCTTCTCATCCAATGCAATCCTCACAACAACCACCTTGTGAGGGTAGGTTAAGCCGAGCAGTTGTGAGGGGCTCAGTGTCACCTAGGTTGCCAGGTCCTCTCGCTGTCGTGGTGGGGGGAATGGGGGGGTGTCCAGGGGTGGGGGGACATTGCATGCAATGCCCCTGATGCAGTGATGTCACCCAGAAGTGGCATCGTCATGTCGGCGATGTTGCACGCAGTGCTCTGGTTTTTGGGCAAAGACTCTACAGTTTTTGGCTTCAGAACCATAGAGTTTGCCCAAAAACCAGAGCATCGCCAACGTGATGGTGTCACTTCCGGGTAATGTCATTGCGCCGGTGATGTTGCATGTCCCTGCTTGGGAGTGGGGTTTCCTCCAGTGGGCAGCCGGCGGTCAGCAGATCAGAACCCCCCAAAGCGGGAAAGCCCCCGCTGGGACCTGGAGGCTGGCAGCCCTAATGTCACCTGACAGGTTTCCGTGGTTGGGGAAGGGATTCAGACCTGGTCATCCTGGGTCCTCGTCTGCACCCGGCTGCCAAAATAGTGCTCCCCAAACCCCCACAGCTGTGTGTTCGTAGTTGCGGGTTTGTGCAGCGATACTGTGACTTCAAGGAAGTGAGAGCAGGGAACCGAAAACAAATGCTGAAGAATCTGCATCAGGACTTTAATGGTACTGTTGAGACCATGCATACAGGAAACCGTTCCTGTACCCTGGGAATGAGAGCTCAGTGGAAGCGGGGAATTTGACCTGCCGCTAGCTTACTTTGAGACTTGTGGTGTTTTTGCATGGTGTATTTTTGGTGTCTGGAGGAAAATGAAGCTGTGAATCACTCGGCCAATTGGGTACTCTGGGGCAAATCTGTATTTTGATAAAATAGAATATGCATGGGATCTCTGAACCACTGGCGTGGTTATGCTTGGCCCTTCAAGGCATTCCAAGGTTTCCCTCCACAAAAGTTTTTGTTTTTTACTTTGATGTCCCTATTGCTTGTCTCTGTGATGAGTGAGGAGGAAAGAGGCTTCTGAAACTCAAGAAAGAAATGACTGATCTTCATATTTCTGCGTCTCCTGTCGAAACTTGAGTGTGCTTCAGGATCTTAAAAGGGTTAACGATCAAAGTGTCCGAGACTTGTAGGTTTAAGACACGTTTTACAGAGGAAAGATTTGGTGTCTTCCTTAAAAGTACCTTAGGCCTTTTGCTAGGGCAGTATTGTCCTTGTTCTTCGGCCTCAGCTCTTTGTCCCAAAATGGCTTATAAATATGTACCTGCTTTCAGATCTTTCCCAGAGTATTTTTCACACTGACTCATGTGTCTTGAAAATCTAAATCTGCGGAGAGCTTGTGTATGTATGTGTAACTGTGGCTGCTATCTGAAAAGCTGTCACTTTTGTGTTTGTAATTTTTTTTGCAGATATCAGAACTTGCCCACAGCAGATCTGTTTAATCTTAAGTATTATTAGGTAGAAATGCTCCCCACCACCCGACTCATCACTTCTATGTCTGTCATTTTCTTGCTTTTGTGCTGGCCTATTTAATTATAGATTATCAAGGCATGTATAACAGTAATTGAAAACTTGTGACTTTTATTCTTGGTCTCAAAACATGACATCTTTGTTCTGAAAGGTACCTATAAACGTATGGAAGAGGCAGATAGTTTTATGGCAAGATTGAATTCAGAGATTTAGCTCCAGAGGTTGAAGAGAAAAGGAAAAGAAACAAGGAAGGGCATGAGAAAACAACGTAAGGAAGGAAGGAAGGCTGGCCCCTCCAAATATTAGCATGTTTGTTTTTATTTAAAACATGTTTATGCCATCTTTCCAACCAGTTCATGGTCCCCAAGGTGGTCAACAGTCGAAGCATCAAAGCAAATTTTAAAACAAATAAAAACAACACAACAAAACACATACAAGTAGAAACATATACATAAGCAGGAAGGACAGTCAGTGGGGGTACTCCAAACAAAACAGTAGTGGCATAAGACAGTGATAGAGGGGAATAACCAATCTCTGTGGGGAGGGAATTCCATAACTTTGGTGCCATGACCGAGAAAGCCTGTTCTGAAGTTGCCACCTGTCTAATCTCAGGTGGTGGAGGCACCTGAAGCAAGGCCTCCAACGATGACCATAGTGGTCGGTTAAGTTTGTATGGGAGTAGGCTATCCTTCATTACACCAAATATAGGCAGACATGGAATGGGGAAGAAGAAGAAGGAAGGAAGTAGCATTTTTAGTGTTAGAGCAGGAAAAAGTTAAGGAACCATTAACATATCTTCTGTGGGCAGATACAAGAGCAAGAAAGAGAAAAAAAATTAGGAGCACTGAGCATTATTTCCACTGCATTCTTACACTCGGTAGTTTTTAATAGATGGGGTGTTAACAGGGAGGTCAGGCCTTCAGTCCATCAAGCCAGTTGGGCAATTTCCGTGACTCTTGGGTTTTCAGGTCAGTGCCCCACCTTTCCAAAAAGGTTTCGGGTGGCTAATAGCATTTAAGAAACAGGACAT